CCACAGGGTCCATGTGGCCAGAGGCAGAGAGGTGCTGGGCTCTGTGTGGGAAAAATGAGGTCTTAGAGTGGGCAAAAGAATATGGAGGGCTGGTGGGGGAGGAGGCAGGGCCTGGCACTGCCTGGCAGAAATGCTGCTTGCCTGAAATGCACCAGGGAGGGAAGATGGTCCTTGGGGATATCCCTGGAGGATAAGATACAGGGGAACAAAGAGTGCTCCTGACAGGGAGAAGTCCAGGATAGAACCATTCACCAGGCTGAGGACATGATGTCCAGGACCACCTGGTGGCTCCCAAAGTCAGTGGAGAAGCACTCACCTCCAGCCCCATCCTCTCCTGTGCTTGGGACTGGTGATGCCTCCAGCCTCTTTCCTTCGCCACAAATTACCTGGCCAACCCCTTCTGTCAGCCTTTTCCCCCCTTTCTAGACAAAACAACCTTTCCCCATTCCTGGGACTGCTCCCTTCTTCTCCAGACTTGCCTAGCCTCTTTCATCATGCCAATAAAAGAGTAAATGCATCACACGCTGGCCAGGGAGAGTGGAAACCCTTGAACATCTAAGAGGTGAGAGCGACAAGAGGTGTTTTTCCGAGACTCCCCGATGCCCTGTTAGGTCAAATGCCTTGCTCTGAAGCAGGAGAGAGGGGACTTATTAAAAACCTTTCATTTTTCTGATTTTTAAGGTCCTGTTTCAGCAGGCCGGAGGCTGAGGCGTGAGTGGGGCTGTCGGAGGGGAAGGGCAGTGAGCTGACGGCGTGCAAACAGATTGTGCAATATTAGGCTTGCACAGAGCTCCCATTGTAAAGCCTGGGAGTTCTGCTTCCAATAAATCCCCTGCCATAATGCCCCATTGATGGCAAGAGAAAGGCAGTATTGAGGGCTGAAACAGCTACGGCCTCAGGAAGGGTTAAAAAATAAAGAAAAGGGGGGGGGGGAAAGTTAAAAAAAAAGAAAGATTTGAGGCTTAGTTTTAAACTTTGCTGTGTGGCCCTCGTGGCAGATCGCAGGCGCAGAGAAGTATGTGGAGCCTGTTTGCATAACCCCATTTGCAGCGAGCACTTTTGGAGCCAAAACACAAGTGCGGCCGGAGCCGGGGGGCGGTGGGGAGAAAAAAGCAGGAAGGGCTGTGTTTATTTTCATTCTTGCCCCAGGCTACATAAAATTAATAATTAAAAAAAAAAAAAAAAAAGGAAGAATTAAATATTTGGTCAGAGAACCAGCTGTGCAAATGTGAGGAGCTGTGACAGCTGCAGGGACATGGAGGGACTTGGTCCAGGCACTGGTCAGGGTTTGATGCCCTGCAGGTCGTGTTCCTGGGCGTATAAGCACCACAAAGGAGCATTTTGGGCTTTGGCTGGTGACTTTACCCTGGTTGCTGAGTGATTCCTCAGCATGGGGAGCTTGATTCCAGCTGGGAAGGGTCTGCAGGCACCTGGAAAGGCTGGGCTGGGGTGCAGGTGGGTGATGCTCTGCCCACAGAGCTGCTGCCAGCCCCACATCCAGCACCCAGCTCACCTGATGGGCCTTCCCATCATCCTGAACTGGTAATGCCACTGCAGACCAGGCTGGGAGGGAGATTCAGTGTCTTTTGTCACAGCAGCTGGTGTGATGGGAGGAGCAGGGCTGTCCTTGCCAGGGCAGATGCAGGACCAAAGCAGGCAGGGTCTGCTGGCTGGCTCAGCACTCACAGCCGGGCCAGCTGCCAGGGGAAATCTCCCCATTGTGCAACACGCTGGAGCTCTCCAAGGAAGCTCCTGGCTCTTGAGACATCTTTGAGTGAGGCTGGACGAGTGACTGCCTTGAATTAAGAGCGGTTTAGGGGGTGCCTGCAGGCCCTGAGTACTTTTTCCATCCCTAGACCTTGTGATGCATTAATCACTCTCAGAACAGCTGTGCAGACAGCTTAAATCGTCCTGACCCCAAAACTCCAGACTTGTCATTTCTTCCTCCTCCCTGCTAGCCGCTCGCTTCTCCTGCCTCCTGTCATGGTATCAGTGGGGCTGGCTGGAGGGTGCCATTGCACCCCATTTCCTGGGATCTAGAGTGTTTTCACTGCACCCCTTGCTGCTTTTCACTCTTTTCTCATTTCTTGGAGGAGCACTCAGAAGGTGTCCATGTGCTGCTGAGACCCAGCCAGCTGTCCCTGAACCTTCTGAGCAGGGTCACTGCCAACAAATTCACTATTTATTCACCCTTTGGCTCTTGGAAAAGCTCCCTGCTGTTTCCTCCGCAGACCTGGGGCCAGCTTGGACTCATCACTGATTTAACTGAGCTGGCTGCCCTGGCTGGCACAGAAGGTCTCCTCCCCGTGTCAGCATGTGCCCAGGTCCCTGCTGCCACCTCCTTCCCTCCTTTCAACTCTCTGAGCTTTGGCCACTGACAGCAGCTTAAACTTGGGATGACTCTCCCAGCCTGTGCCTCCTCTTCCTAAGGGTGTGAGCTGGATGTGACCCACCACACGGCTGTGGAACAGCAAATCCACACACCCAGGAGGTGCTTGGCTCTGCTTTGCTCCTCAGAGGTGGGATCCAGCCCTACTCCTCGTAGGTGGGCTCCAGACCCACTCCTGTGGCCACACATTCCTTCTGCTGCCCCTTCCAGCACCTCCCTCCTGCTCATCCCCTGGCCCCAAGCAAGACATAGCTTATCAGTGATCTGTATTGCCTTGAACACAGTTTCTCTGCCATGTCTCAGGCCTGACATCTTCAATTTCCTCTCTCATCTGTAACACTCACCCAAGTGGACCATTATTTATTATTTGGGAAGAGCTATGATTACAAGCCCTGGCAATAACTCTGTCTCTGGTTTGGGGTGTGTACAGAGCCATGTGTGCAGGAGAACACAAGACCCAGGAGACAAGGATCCCCCGCCTCTCTTTCCCTTCAGTCAGGTCCAGGTTTTTCCAGGAGGAGGATATTGTTCAAAACTAAAGGTGTTGGGAAAGAAAAGGGAGACAAGTGGTGGGAAGGAGTGAGGGAAAAGGAGAAGAGATCTGGGTGGAAGAAATGAGAGACGAACCCCTGGGGATTAATCAAACCTCACTGAAGGGCTTATCCCAGCCCTTCTGAGCTGTTGAGTGAGCAGGGGTTCCTGCCAGCAGGGAAAAACACAGAACACAGTTATCCATCCCTGCCTCCTACTCCTGTCCCCTGCACCCCTCCCTGTGCTCCTGCAAGCCCCTGAGCCCTGGCTGAAGCTGGCTGTGTCCAGCTCCCTGTCCTTGACCCCATCCTCTCTGCCTGTGTCTAAAGCTAGGAGGGAGAAGCCCATCCTCCCTTTGCTGTTCCTGGGAGTCCCTGGGAGTGAGGAGCCTCGTGATCCCTCCTCCCCACTCCTCCATGGTGTCTAGGGTCCTAGGGAGCAGGCTGGCGTGGGGCAGGGGGGACTGGAGGGTCAATGGAAGGACAGGGAGTGGGGGAGGAGCCCAGGGAGGGGACATGGATCCATCTGTCTCATCTGCTCTTCTGAGCCAGTTCTGAAGGCAGAGCCCTCCCAGACCCCCAGCGAGCCCCCACCACAACCCTGCAGTTGTAAAGGCAGGTGGGGTGGCTGGGCTGGGGGCTGCTGGGGTGCCCAGTGTACTGGGACCCCTCGGGTCCCCATCATTTTGGGACTGTAAACAGCCACAGGACTCAGCTCCCAGCTCTGACAGGGGTGTGTGAATGTGGGTGGGTTTGTGCTGAAAATCCTCCTTCCTGGGCCATGTCCTTGGCTGGGAAGGTGGGGGGGACAAGATGCATACCAGGCACGAGGGCTTCCTGATGAATGCTGGCCCTGCAGAAGGAATTGCACAGGGCCATTGCTCATCTCTGCCAAACCCCTCCCTGAAGCATCAGGGCACTGGCCCCTTGTCCCAGCACCCCTAGCTCAGATCAGTACCCCTGCACTGGCAGAAGTCTCTGGTTCCCACCAAACCTTGCCCCTCTCATGTGACAATGGCCCTTCGCTGCCTCAGTTTCCCTACTTGGAAAACATGTGCAGCAGCACCCACCACTCAGTGCTCTGGAAGTCCCCGGGTGGTTTTATTAACAGTAAGGGTGCTCAAACAAGTTTTTTCAGCTTCTCCTTGTTCAGGGTTTATTTGGATGACGATCCTGTCAGTGTGGGCAGCTGGCCCCAGCAATCCCTCCCAGACATCCAGTCCTTCCCGCTGCCCTCCCGGGCTGGATGCTGCGGGGGCTTCAGCTGGGCATCCCACCAAGGGTCCTGATCCATGTGTCACGCGGCTCGGTGCGAGCAGGGAGGGAAGCATCGGCGGCTCAGGGAATGCCCCGCTTAGGACCCTGCATGCCCTGGAGCTTCCCAGCTTTTTGCTGGAGCTGCTGAGCTGGGAGGGGCCGGGCCGGCAGCTCCCCATAAACCTGGCGGCTTAGACCAACTCCTGACAGATGTTGGGACTGTGCCTTGGAGCGGAGGTTGGGAAAAGGAGAGGGCGGCTCTTGCCCGGAGAGTGAGGAGGAGAGCTCGGCACCCCTAGGGCTTGAACTTTAGCACCCTCTTCCGCAGGAGTTTGAGGACGAGGATCGGCGTATCCCGAGCGAGCCCTCTGGATACCGGGCAGGCGCAGGGCTGGAGCAGACGAGAAGCCACAGCAACTTTGTCTGACGAGGATTTTGTGGAGCTCTTCATAAAGAAATAACACCAGGGAGAAAGCCCCAGGAAGCCGGGAAGCGTTTCCAACGCTCGGGACGCTGGCGAGCGCTCCGGGCCGCCGGCAGTCCGTGCGAGGAGCCCGTCCTGCCGTGCAGATGTGTGTGATTGGAGCAGCGCGGGGCTTATTTTCCTTTGACTGAAGACAACCCAGCCCCGGCGGATTAAGCTCTTTGTGTGCACGCGAGTGTGCCTTGATGGAAGCTGCTCCCGCAAAACCGGCTGCGGGGCTTGAGGGGAGCATCCTCTAGGTCAGGGAGCCCTCCTGGAGGAGGGGGAGACCTCCTGTGGTCGTGGCTCTGAGGCGATGCTGGGACAGTAACACCCTTGGCAGGCAGCGCAGCGCTTCGGGATGGCCGTCTATGCCCTCACGGGTTTCTCACTCGTCAGCCTGCTCAGCTTTGGCTATTTGTCTTGGGACTGGATGAAGCCCAGTTTGGTGGCCGATGTGGCCACAGACCCCATGGAGAAATCACTGCCCCCCACCTTCCCCAGGCCTCCCCACATCATCTTCATTCTGACCGATGATCAGGGCTACCACGACATCGGCTATCATGGCTCAGATATCCAGACACCGACGCTGGACAGGCTGGCAGCAGAGGGTGTGAAGCTGGAGAACTATTACATCCAGCCCATCTGCACCCCGTCCCGGAGCCAGCTGATAACTGGCAGGTAAGCCAGTGCCTGCTCACAGCCTACTCATGTCCCTCTTTGGTCCCTTCTCTTAGGGGGCTTAACCCCAACTTGCTGCTAGAGTGATGCCCTGGTGTGTTGGCAGAGGATGGAGATCCTCCAGCAGATCTGGATTTCTCTAGAAAGCCTCCTAGGTGAATAGTTGATTTCCACACAGGATAAATAGTGGCACATGGCAAGAGCAAAAATGTGGATGCTGCTGGGTAATGGATGTTACTTTGGGAGAGGGTGGTCTCTAGTCAGGAGGTGTTTGGTGCTGGGCAAGGAGCTGAGTCCCGAGGTAGTCCCTGACACACTGTCCCTTGGAGATTTGCTGTGAGGCCCTTGGTCTGTGCTTTGTCTGCATGCGTGTTCAGTGCACTGGCCAGTACAGGCTGGATGTTGCTCCATTGCCCTCTCCCATGGCAGCACAGTCAGATGTCCCCTTATCCTGGGCCATTCTGCCTTCTAGGATAGGTGGGGCTTTCTCTGGAGCAGCGCTGTGTGGTCAGCACTCCCTGTAGGAGGCAGATCCCACCAGACCACCTCCTGCTGAGGATGGGCCCAGGGAGGTGCCTATGGATGTGATCACCTACTGCCTTGGGGTGATGGAGCCCACCAGGGTCCAAGCAAAGTCTTCACTTCTCTTCTGATGGTTCTTGAGGGGTCCCAGACATCTTTGTGGTGTGCAAAGCAGGGGAGGACAGAGATGATGGGGACATTCACGTGGGGCACTGTGAACCCTCTTGCTTGTGCTGCCCAGCCCTGACCCAGCCCAGCCACCTCCCCAGGCTGGCAGCAGTGGGACAAATGATGGTGGCATTTTTGTGAGATGTCTGCTGAGCCTCTCTCTTTGTCCTTTGCATCTCCTTTTGGTACTTACGGACAGATGAGGAGCTCCCTGTCCCTGGCTGGATCTTGCTTCATTGGGTTGGGTTGGGTGACATGGAAATCTGCATTTGTTTTGGGTCTCTAACACATGAAGTGCCATCATGTCCTCACCCAGTGCTGCTCCTCATCACCACTGCTTTTCTCTGGCTCTTCCTCCTGGCAGGTACCAGATCCACACAGGATTGCAGCACTCCATCATCCGCCCTCGGCAGCCCAACTGCCTGCCCCTCGACCAGGTCACCCTGCCACAGAAGCTGCAGGAAGCCGGCTACTCCACACACATGGTGGGCAAGTGGCACCTTGGCTTCTACAAGAAGGAGTGCCTGCCCACTCGCCGGGGCTTTGACACCTTCCTGGGCTCCCTGACAGGCAACGTGGATTATTACACCTATGACAACTGCGACGGGCCGGACGTCTGCGGCTACGACCTGCACGAGGGGGAGGACGTGGCTTGGGACCAGAGCGGGAAGTATTCCACCTTCCTCTACGCCCAGCGCGTCAGCAAGATCCTGGCCTCCCACAGCCCCAAGGAGCCCATCTTCATCTACGTGGCCTTCCAAGCGGTGCACACGCCCCTGCAGTCTCCCAAGGAGTACATCTACCGCTACCGCTCCATGGGCAACGTCGCCCGCCGCAAGTACGCGGCCATGGTCACCTGCATGGACGAGGCGGTGAAGAACATCACCTGGGCCCTCAAGAAGTATGGGTACTATGACAACAGTGTGATCGTGTTCTCCACGGACAACGGCGGGCAGACCTTCTCCGGGGGAAGCAACTGGCCACTACGGGGTCGCAAAGGGACGTACTGGGAAGGGGGAGTGCGTGGCATTGGTTTTGTGCACAGTCCCCTGATCAAGCGCAAGCGTCGGACAAGCTGGGCGCTCATTCACATTACAGACTGGTATCCTACTCTGGTCAGCCTGGCCAGGGGCAACCTGAGCAATGTCCAAGGCTTGGATGGCTATGATGTCTGGCCTGCTATCAGTGAGGGCAAAGAGTCACCACGCACCGAAATCCTGCACAACATTGACCCCTTGTACAACCATGCCAAGTACGGCTCCTTGGAGGATGGCTTCGGCATCTGGAACACAGCTGTGCAAGCTTCCATCCGGGTTGGGGAGTGGAAACTCCTCACTGGTGACCCAGGGTACAGTGACTGGATACCCCCACAGACCCTGACCAACTTCCCAGGGAGCTGGTGGAACCTGGAGCGCCTCACTGATGGCCTGAGGAAATCCGTGTGGCTCTTCAACATCACTGCCGACCCCTACGAGCGCTATGACCTCTCAGAGCAGCGCCCAGACGTGGTCAGAACCCTCCTGATGAGGTTGGTGCACTACAACCGGACGGCCATCCCGGTGCGGTACCCTGCGGAGAACCCCCGGGCTCACCCAGACTTCAACGGCGGTGCCTGGGGACCCTGGGCCAGTGAAGATGATGGCGAGGAGTGGGAAGGCAGCCGGGAGTCCCTGAAAAGCAGGAACAAGAAGAAGAAGAAGTGCAAGATCTGCAAGCTGCGCTCCTTCTTCCGCAAGCTGAACACCAGGCTCATGTCCAACCGCATCTGATGGGACACTCCCCCAGCATCCACCCATCCTGGCCAGGGTGGAGCTCTGGACTGCATTGCCGTGGGATGGGAGTGAGGGAGAAGGACAGCCAGGGAGGTGGCCAGTGCTCTCTTGCTCTCCGTTGCTCCAGGGCTCACTCCAAAACACTTCTCCTTGGCTGGAGTGGTGGCCACAGGGAGTTGCTCCCCGTGGGTGAGGAAGGTCAATGTGGTGTCTGCTGCGGTGCTTGGTGGTGGTGAATGACTGTGCTGAGCTGGGCTGGCCCTGCACAGCTGCTTCCAAAGAGAGAGACTCTTTCGTCAAGGATTCTGCAGCCAATTTTGGCTTTAAGTGCTGGCCATCAAAAGGGCAGGAGGAGGCATGGGGGCTCTGCCTTCACGTTAACCCTCACCATTTCCCTCTATTTGCTCCTGGCTTGCAGCCTACTGCCAAGCAGCTGCAACCTTTGCTCTTGCTCTGGGAACTTGAGGGCCTCCCCCAAACCCACGACCACATTGCTTCTTTGTGGAGGGCTGGATTCCTGACCATGGATGTCAGACTTGAGATCACTGTGGCTGGACTAAGTCATGTTGCTACAGTGACCTCATGTGGGGCTATGGCTTCCCCTCTCCACTGCCCTGGGGGGCTGGGAGCAGCCCTGGTGAGGATCTGTGGCCCATGGAGGCATGGTTGGATGCTCCCAGAGGACAGGTGGTTGTCTTTGGCCCCCCATTTGGGAGACTGGTTTGCTCCAGGCTCTGGTAGTGGATTCGACATGGGTAGAGCAGAGCCTTTCACCCAAAATTTGCTTGGACACCCCCCTCATGTGCAAGCCTCTAGGCACCCCTGTTCCTCCCTATGAATCCTACGCATCCAACCAGACAACCACCCCTGTCTGCCCCTACCCAGTGCTGGAGCTGTCCCTGTCCCACAGCCCACTGCTGAACCTGGGGCAGAGGGAAGATCTCAAGAAGGTCTCTGCAGAAGCTGATCTGCTGTTTTGTAGCTGCAGGACTTGAAGCCGTGGTGGGGAACAGGGATGATGGGCACGTCTCCCGCCTGCCAGCACCGCGCCACATCCCCTCCTTGCAGATGGGCACTGCTCTTCCAGCAGCGCACGCGTGGGGAGGAAAACACCTCCCCATCATCCGCTGCTGAGGGGAGCCAGCCCATCCCATCGCCAGGGGCCAGGGAAGCCAGCAGAGCTCCGGGCCCCCGCGCCTTCGGCGGGGTGAGAGCGCGCATACGTGCGCTCGCAGGGGAGCTGGCGAGGATGGAAGGGGGTAAATAGCTTCAAAATCGTTTTGGATGCATGGTGCATTTCCATTTACACAATGTGTTTTACATTTCTCCCCACAGGTTTCTCTTGGTGCAGCGTGTGTAGGCGAAGGCCCTGCTGTGAATTTTGAAAATAGTTATTTTTGTCTCTGGAAAATGAGGCCCGTTAGGACTTGTCAGCTCTTGGATGAGCAGTGTGGGCTTTCTATTTTTTTTTCTTTTCCCCCCTCTCTTTCTCCCTTGCAAAATAACATTCATTTAAAATCTGTCATTGAAAGATGTGACAATTGGCAGCGTGCACACTGAATACCTTTCAGTGCTCTTTCAAGCCCCGTGTGTGAGAGAGGGATGAGGATGGGAAGAAAATGACATGTTTGTATTTTTTTTTTTCTTACTCTTAGCTGGATTATTTGGGGGTATTGGGATTTTCTGTAGAAACAAAGGAAAAAAAAACCAGCTGACAGCAAGGCAGAAGAGAGGAGGCCTCTTCTTGTAGAGCTGGGAAGGAGTTTGAAAAGCTGGAGTGTGGCAGCGTGTGTGCCATCCTCGCAGCGCCGCGCACGCCCATCGCTGTGCCATCCCACCCCGCTGCCTCCTGCATCCCTGCATCCCTGCAGGCACATCCCTAGCACAGGGTTCAGAGGGGACCCAGCTCCTCCATCAGCCCCATCTCCATCCCTGCTCCCTTAGCATGTTGCTCCAAGAGGACTGGTCCCCACGGCATCGCCTGGGTGGAGGTGAGCCCCAAGAGGATGCTCCACATCCTCACACTACCTCAAATCAGCCAGCCTGCTCCCTGGGGATGTGCACCATCAGCGGGACTGCGGCACCGGCTGCCATTTGGCAAAGCCAAGCAGTTGCTGAAAATAAAGCAACACTTTGCTGAAGAAGAGGAGGCTGCTGCAGGCAGAGCCAAAGCCAGGGGAGAGCAGGGGGTGATGCTGCAGGGGCTTGGGAACAAATATTAGCTGAAGGAGAGTTGGTGCTGAAGGGAATGGGAGAGCAAGGCTGGACATGAGGTGGTGACAAGGCTCGGGAAACAGCTTTCATTTCCATATTTACATAAACGCATCCAAGTTTAATCTTTCTTTTCTTTTCTTTTTCTTCAAAAATGGAAATTTCCATGAAAAGATGCTCAATCTTTCTCCCTTCCCTTTTTACTAACATCCCCATGAAAATGTTCATCTGGTCACACTTCCTCTTTCCAGGTTTGGATCTGCTGGGCTGATGCTGGGTTTGCAGTCAGCCTGGCCACAGTGGTGGATCTGCTGTCATCTGTATTTTTAATTAAAAAGAGTTGAATTCTGAATCTTTGCAAGAAGAAACAGCTGAAGGAAAACCTTAGTCCCTGAAAACAAAGAGGAGGAGTAGGCAGGAGCATCTCTGGGTGCTTGGAGCGAGCAAAGCCTCCAGCCCGAGGACAGCAGTTGTCCTTCACCCCTGATTCCAGCTGTGCTGTGTCTGAACATTGGGCTGGGAAAGGAGATGCAGCTGCTGCCACGTGTTCTCCTCATCACAGCCATTTTCATTAGTGGTCTGTGCTGGGAAAAACACAGCTATGTGCCAAAATCCCATGTTTTCAGAGAGCTGGAGTCTCCTGGGACAGTGTGCACGCTCTGGCTGCCAAGGGGTTAATGCAGCTGGAGAGATGCTCAGGCGGTGGAGTTCCCTGCACCCGGGAGATGTGTTTTCACAACAGGCTGAGGCTCCCCTCCTTCCCAACCTCCCTTGAAAGTGTCTGGCAAGCCCCAGGAGCTGGTGTAGGATGGGCGCTGGGAGGGAAGGGCAGGGGATGCACCCTCGGGGATGGAGGGGGGTGGTGGCTGCCCCTGCAGCCTTGGACCGGCTGTCTCCACCCGGGCTGTTTCCAGCCTGCTGGCTGGAGCGGGAAGGGGATGGGCTGGGAATGAATGGAGTTGGGATGGGATAGAGATGGGGAGGAGGATAAGAGGAGGGTGGGGCTGGCCTGGGCTGGGCTGGGCTGGGAAGAGGAGGGGAGTGGGATAGGACGGGGATGGAATAGGGATGGGATGCATCAGGCGGGACTGGGGGTACGTCAGAGGCTCTCCAGCCTTGAGGGAACTCCCACCCGAGAGAGGGAAGAAGCCCAGAATCAGGACAGGGGATGGGCATCCCAGCAAACTGCCCCAGTGGCAGAGTGGCAGAGCACCCTGGGCACCTCAGAAGGTGCTCTGCATCAGGGACACTTGTGCTCTTTCTCATGCCAGTGACCTGAGGACATGTGGTTTTGCAAGTTCCTCTACTCAGATCCAGTGCACAGTGGTTCCAGGGAGCCACATGGCACCTGCTGAGTGTCCCCAAGTATCATGGACATGTCACCAGGAGGGTTTTTGCCTATGAACCCTGCTGTAGGGGAGCGGGTGGCACTGAGGACACCCTGTCTCAGCCTAAAGCACCTTCCTGTGGTTGCAGGAGCAAGTGCTGGGCCCATAGGGACAGGGCACGTTTGCAAACACAGCCCTAAATGTAAATCAGCTCTCCTCACCACAGTATTTATAATCTTATCTAAAAATAACCCCAAATTCAGCTTCCCAGAGGACAGCAACTGAGCATCCCCCAGACCCCAGCTTGCATGTGAAACTGTCCCAGTAATTTTGGGATCTCTACAGTGTGTAATTGGCAGCCTGGCTGGTTTGGTGTGTGAGGCACTGCTGCAAGCCCCATCCCCTGGGGGCAGGGGCACCTGCTGCAGCCCCCCAGGACACGTGGATCCATCCTGAGCTGCCCATCCCGTGTGGTTGGGGTTCAGCATCCAACCTCAGGTGCCTACCCTGGGGCAGCCCCGTGCTGGGATGCAGAAACCAAAGCTCTGCAGGCACAGCTGGAGCAGGGCGTGGAGAGCAGGATGCATTTTTGGAGAGGCCAGCCCAGTGATGGAGAGGAGCACTGGGGATGGAGGTCTCCATCAGGTGGCCAGACCCGAGCATGGCAGCAGGAGAGCAGCATGGCTCCCAAAGCCCTGCAGGAGCAAATCTTGGGATGGCTGGGAACAGACCCATCCTAACAATATCCTGAGGCCTCTGGGAGAGGACTGGGACTACTCCCCCCTACAGGGGAGCCCCCAGCCCACAGGTGGAAGGTTCCACCCAGAGCTCCTGCTCCCCTTGGATTGTCCCCAGGCACCCAGGACTGGGACCACACAGCAGTTCCTGCTTGGGAAAGCATTATCAGCAAAGCAGAGCATGTTCAGCATGCAGAAGTCTGACACCCCCTTACCCTCAGAAGGAAAAACGTCGAGGAAAAAGAAAAAAATTGAATAGAGGGAAGAGCAGGGAGGGAGAAACTTTTCCTGGAGAGCCGTGTCTCTGCCAGGCAGGAGAACCCTGGGGAGGGAGGCAGGTGGGGGACTGTGCCACCACCCCCTGCCCGGGTGAGGGTTTGGGCTGCAGCAGGGGCTCGGGGGGAAGGAAGGGACAGATCCCTCCCCCTGGCTCCGGGAGCACGCAGAGTCACGCGTGTGGGGTTGAGCACGTGTGGCAGTGTGGGGGTGGGCACGGGAGGGGGGCAGGTCACATTGCGGAGCTCACGGGGACACGAACAGCAGCGCAGGTGGGAGGGAGGTGGGAGTGAGGCAGGGGCACAGAGCTGCCCACGGGCAGCCAGGGGGTCTTGGGAGTGGGGGGCTCTTGCTCTTGCCTCTAGGGTTCCAAGGAGCTGCTGGGGGCTGGCAGCAAAATGCTGGAGGAGAAAAGCACTCCCATAAACATCCGGATGCACCGGCC